ACAAATGCTCTGACCTAAACCTACCACTATTTTAGTCTCAGACACTAGAAGCCAGTCTAAAGAAGCCTAAACACTCTATACTCCTTCAAAAATATGCATGAGCTTTGGCAAGTCTCCAAGGGAAGTGCCTGTCTCTCAGTGGACTTGGTCTTTGGATGCAGGAGACTTGGGGCTGACAGTTAATAAAAATAAACAGCAGAGGACACAAGAGTGGCCCACCTGGCTTCCTCTCTCCATTTTCAATGGGCGTTATGCATAATTCACAGGCAAGTTTGCATCTGCAGCTTGGCTATTCTCAGCTCCTAAGGATTCCAGCCAGCCTTGCCCAGTCTCCTCCCAGCTGGCACACGTGCCTGGACCACTTGGCAGGTGACAGCCACCATGCACATTTGACGGTGGCATTTTTAGAAACACGGCAGTGGTGAACTCACCCTCCCATTTGTGGAAGCTACTTATTGTGGAAAGTATTTCCCCTCTTATAAGCACATTCTCCCTATCTTCAAGATCATTTAAATGTTATTTATATTCTTCTCTCTCTGTGCAAGTCATTCCATTGTCTTTAGATCGCTTTAGCTGGAGGCAGGATACAGCACTTTGACCCTATGCCAACCATATTTTTGGTACAAATGTGTTTTGCTAGTGTAAGGGGATGAATAATCTAAGCAACAGCCTTGGCCATCTCATTTATGGCAAGAGGGTGTCAGTCTTTGCTAGTATGAATAGTTATCTGTGGACAAACACATAGCAGAAAATAAGCATACAGTACATTTAGTTTATGAAAAGAGCATGCCTACCAGAATTCTGTGACAGCTCCATGTAGGGAACCACATGTTGTCTAATAACTAGAGCACTGGACACCATCCTTCTCCATACTACAGCCGTGGTTTTTGTCCTCACCACAAACCTATGAGGTAGGGGCTTGGCTGAGAGATGCGCTCCAGGCTGTGTCCAGGGAGCTTCATAGCCGAGGAGCAGTTTGATCTTGAGTTTCACATATCCATACCAATGCTCCCTCTAAGCTGTGGAGTCTTGTGAGCAAAAATTCTACTTTGTGAGCTGCTGGCATTAAAGTTGTGAGTGAGCGATTTGGCTACTGCATAAGTTAGTTTGCTCTGGAGCCATCCTTTCTGAGCTAAGACAAATGTTTGAGCCAGAGGCTAAAAAACTGTGAGCTACCTCACACTAACTCAGCTTAGAGGGAACATTGACTCTAAACTCCAGTCCCTCATATCACACTTGCCTTCTGAGTGCTCTTGGCCATTTCCACAGATCAGCCTCAGCTCTTCAGTCAATAAAACAGCAGTAATTGATGCCTAAATATACTAGTTAATGATAAATGAAATTAGGCTGGTAAAGCACTGAACCTGCAGGGCCAAGATAAACAACATATTGCAGGGTTACTGTAGCTGCAGAGCATGTTGCCATCTACAGGAATTTTGCTTTAAGACAATATGATTGTTTTTCATATGCATACTAATTTGTTATAAGCTAGGATGTAAAAAGCTATATAAAACTCGGAACTGAAGTGCTCTTCTGTAGCAACAAACATCAAATCACACTCTCTGGCTCCAGATTAATCCAGAGCAGAATCATACCTACCTGCCTCATGCCACTCATAAAGTTTTTCAATCTGGGGAAAAATCCTTACCACTGTATAGATCTCTTGACTGCAATTGCAAATGGATATCCTTGTTAAGCAATCGTCAGCTATGCTGCCATGATGTTTATGGGCAGGAGTGCATTTGCTTGACCTGTGTACCAACTGCTGCTTCATTCCTTCGTTCCTTATTATTTCTGACCTTGTAGGTTGCCTGTGTAGTGTCTTCCCATCAATTACCCGTGGGACTAGTTTCCGATTCCCAGCTTTGGCCTTAACAGCCTGGGGCCCCATTCTCCCGCGCCAGGAGTCAGGTCAGGCCGATTGGCCTAGGGATGGGGGGGTCCATACGAATGCCCTATATCCCATTATGCTTGTAGGAATGTAGCCATTCCTAACAGTGACAATGTTACTGCCTCTATAGCTCTGACAATAAAGTATAACCTTATGATAAGCATGTACTCAATTGTTTGGCTGTGGAACCTTACAGCAATCTTGACTATGCATAGTTTGAAATGATAAGCATTAGATCACTCTGAATATAATGTAAAACAGATTCTCCTCTAACATTTTTAAAAAATCATTTATTGAAACTTTCCTTTATCCTTAAAAATGAGAGATAACAAACAGTTAAGAAAAACCTTTTAACTCTTAGAAAAGCAAACACATTGTCTGGATGGTAAAAATTATCTGGAAGAGCGCTTATATGTATATTATATGGTTAGTGATTGTGAATTCACAGTCCAGTCCTCTGCCTTTATCTAGGTGAGAAAAGGAGCAAAAGGAATAAGCGAGAGAAACAAGAGGGAATGGGAAGAGAGTCTTTGTGCCTCACCTAGACCAGCTACATGAAACATTAGATTGAGGCTGTTGGGCACACAGTCCAGAAAGGCGCTTCATGTGCCATTAAGGATGTATCAGGTATTCCTTCACAGTACATGTGTGTACACTCTCTCTCACTCATGCACATTATTGGCTTCTGAATAGCTAAGAATCTTCATTTGCTGCTTAGATCTCAACCTTCTCATTAAAGAATAGGACCTCTAATTTAATTTATAGTCTGGCATTGTGTCTAGAATAGCCAGGAAACCCTAAGATTGTCTGGCAGCCAAAAGTCCTAGCTCTTTAGCATTATGCACCACTAGGTGGCTAGGTAGACTTGTTTTTAAGGCAAGAGATGTTTCAGAGATGGTTTCCCACTGCCTGCTTCTGTGTCACGACCTTGGTATTCCTTGGAGGTTGCCCTTCCAAGTACTAGCCACGGCCAACCCTGCTTAGCTTCTGAGATTTGATGGGATTGGACTAGCCTGGGCCATCCAGGTCAGGGCACTAGAACCTCTAATTAGTATTTACAGAATTGCAATAGACCGACAGTATAAAATGCATGCATGGAATTAAGCATAAACCTTCATGGAGCAATGTCGCACTCAATTTCCAATGGTCCTTTAAAGTCACATTACCATCGAAAAATGTAAAGTTATCACACAACAAAGGGAGCTACAGCAATACCTAGAAACATATATATCATATCTGGATCTCAAGAGGCAATGCAAGAATCAGTGTGGTGAAGAGGCCGGGCAACAGTTCTGGCACACTTGCTTCAGGAAACCTGGGGTCCCCTCCAGATAACAGATGTCACTCTATGCCCAGGGCTAATCCAGGATGGAAATATCAGATCCCATCCATGAGATACAACCAGCAGGGCATAGTGGTTACAGTGTTGGACTAGGTTCTGGGAAAGCCAGGTTCAAATCCCGGCTCTACCATGGAAGGTTGCTGGGTGACCTTGGGCCATTCACCTACTCTCAACCTAACCTACCTCACAGGGTTGTTGTGAGGACAAAATGGAGAACAGAGGAATAATGTAAGACACCTTTGATCCCCATTGAAGAGAAAGGTGGGGTATCAATGAAGTAAATAAATACGTAAAAACTCTTAATTAACTGATTGCATTAATCTAAATTTAAGTATCTAGAATGATTGTTTTAAAATGTACAACTTGCGCAGCACATATACTAGATAGATAGATGTACTCCAACTTTTACGCAACATTAGCTGGTTTGGAACATCCATAAAATATAGCAATCAGGGTTGTTTGGGAAGAGTAACATCAGAGATGGTTTTGTGAGAATCCATGTGTAACCTTCAGCAGTTATTGTATGAAAACCAAGAGACCAGGGTTCAAGATTTGTAATAATTCTAGGCTATGGAGTCAGCGGGCCATTTGTTTGACTGTATGTGAGACAGCATATTATAATGTCAATATTGTTTTAGGTTTGACAAGACCAAGTGGCACTGAGATTTTATAAAGATGCATAAAATGAATAGGTTCATTTCATCTTCCAACCCAGATTCAGAGAGGGAAAGAGAAGCAAAAATATATTTTCAGCTACAAATGGATACAATACAGAAGGCAAACATATTTGAACACACTCAAACATATAGCAATCTCATGGTAAGAACTGTTAGAAAAGAGAAAAACTAGAGGGAAAATATCTTTACAATTTTTATTTTTAATAAATACATTACACCGTCAAACAATAGTATAGAAAATGGAGATCTCACTTGTGCTTTGGTCTTAGAAAAATCTCAAAGAAATGCTTCAATAAAGAGGGGGGAAGCTTTGTTATTTGAAGGGAATGTGCTGGGAAAGTTCCTTAATATTATTTCAAGTGTTCTGGAATAAAAATTATACATTGTTTGATAACAGAGGAGTTCCTTCATATCTCAGTTCTTTCACATTACCAAACCATTTGCAGTATTTTCCACCATCTTCCACTGGAGCTCCTCATTGCCAATGCAGAGCTGTATGTGTGGAATAAAATACCCAGAGACCTTTCCCCACTTCTATTCCTCAAGCAGGTGTCCATTATGCTGAGTGTGTGGCAATATGCTTGGTCACTACCTGTAACTAGAGGACTATCCTTGCTTCTCATAGAAGGATCCAGGGGCCCTGGTCTTTCCAGACCTCTCTAGGGCAGGCCATCTCTCCTCCAAGTGACAACAGCCAGACTGCATGCATGGTAACAGCCTTGAATGTTGCCACAGGCCTAACACAATGCATAACCTGCCAAGAGTCAATGGGTAAGGAGGAGGGAGAACAGGGGCTCTAGAGCTGTCACATAGATCCCCTCCTATGCATTTAGCTGTATACCAATGAAGAGTTGCACCCATGCGAGGGGATGGTGCATGCCACTAACTGCTTTGTACCCTCATCCTATACATCTTAAATTAGAAGGGCAATGGAAAAGGAATGAGAAAGTTTCAATAGCATTCTCAGGAATTTACGTTCATACTCAAGAGATCAGCATTAGGCCACCGAAACAAATATCAGAATGAAGCAAAAGAAACTTCCCAAATTGAGTTTTCAATTTTTTTTAGGACAAGAACATATTCCTACCAATACTGGTTATAGATATATGGATTTTGCAGCTCATCACACTGCTCTTTCACTTCTGGAATTAACAGAAGTAGAATTCAGAAGGCAATATAAAGGAAACAACACTAAGATGATGTCCAGTATGCTTCCCTCCATTTAATCCATTTTATTATTTATTTATTTTACTTAGCATAAGACTCCCTGCTCTATCTGGATCCAAGCAGAGGTTAGTGGAGGAATCTGTCTAAATGCATTTATTCCAGTCTCTTCCCATTCCTCTCATGCCTTGCTTGATTTAGATCAGCATATCTTCTCAACAGAGGAAGGAAGTGCAACATATGATCCATGCCCAGATCTATGCTGTCCACCAGCCAGTTCAAAACCAATGCCTGCCACTTTTAAGAGCATCTGGCCAACACTTTTCCTCTGCTGGACCCCTTCTCTTTCTTCTTCCTGTACCTGTAGCTCATTAAGTAAGCAAGCTTACCTTTTGTTTATACTTTACAAAGTCCTGTCTCTTTGGGCCTTTCTTCTGTCAGAATAGCATCAGATCCCTATCATAAATTCTCCCATTTTGTTCGCCTCATATTCATGATTCCACCCTCCCTTGGGAATTTTACAAAAAGGGAAACAGTCTTTTCTTCAGGATGTAAAGCACTGTGGCCAAAAACAAAGCAAGGGCAAGGAAGATGAGCAGTTTATCAGTCAATTCCCTGCGATTGTACTTTGTAATGAGTTTTCGTCCCAACTGTATTGTTCCAGACATGGATTTAAACTCTTCATTTGCATCCAGAATGGTTCGTGAAGAATTGACTGAAAGAGAACACATAACATTTCAGCTCAAAGTGTTTCAGATAATTGGACAAACAAACAGAAAACAAAATATAAAATATTGTACAAGATATCCATGTACTCTTAGTAACTGACATAGTATGGAGTCATGCATTTTGTACAGAGTATTTAAAAAAACCTTTAATTTTATTTGTTTATTTAAACTTTGAGAAAGTAGCCCTAAGAGGAACTCCTGCACAAAGCTTCCATTTCAAACCTTTCTGTCTCAGCTGCCAACCAATGGCAATATCAGAAGGTACACCTCCATCCCCACTGCTAGAGAAGATTATTGCTTTCATACATTTAAGGGAAATCGAAAACCTCAAGTTAAAATGTTGTGAAGTGAGCAGCTAAAGAACTGGTTGATTTATGTATAGTTGGCCTACAAAAGACCTTTCAGGTTGTTGATTTGGGGAATTAATATCTTAAGTTTGGAATGGAAATTCAGCACAATCAGTCACACTATTACACAATTCTAGGTTTCCATTTAGAAGACCGTTTTGTCTCCTGTCAAGTATTTGTCACAGTAAGAGATAACATAAGGCTTCCTGAGCCCAAAGTCAAATTACTTATTGCATGTCACAGCAAGGACTTCTTTGATGTTTTGCAATAACAATAATATTTTAATGGCAGATTAAGTACAGGTAGCCTTTTTGGGGGGAAGATTCTGGTACCTGACATTTAGCGCACTGAAAGTTTCCACACAGCCATGATGGCCTCTAGAAAGGTGCAGCACAAACCTACCAAACATGACTGTTGAACAACTTCACATCATTTCAGTCAGGCTTATACGGGGCAAAGAATATGGGATGAGACTGCACACCACAGGTCCTCCAATCCCCCCCTCCCCGAAAATAGGGTTGCCAAGTCCAAATTCGGAAATATCTGAGGACTTTTGGGGTGGGGCCAGGAGACTTTGGGGGTGGAGCCTGGAGACTTTTGCGATGTCATTTCCTGTGATGTCACTTCCTGTGATGTCACTTCCTGGTCAAATGGCAAGTGGTGTCACTTCCCCTTCTGATGATGTCACTTCCAGTACACTGCACCAAAACCTCACCTCTTCCTGTGATGTCACTTTCCAGGCACTCCCCCAAACCCGCCTCTCCCTCTGAAGTAACCTTCTTTAAAAAAATAAAATTTAAATTCAGTGTCATATATCAATTCTCACCCCACCTTTCCCCTATTTTACACTACCTCTAGGCTTTTAGGCCTCCTTCCAGTGCAAAAATAACAAAAAGCTTTAAGAAACATAAAATGCTTTAATTTAAACATTTAACTATCAGAAGGAAAAAACAATCAAACAGCACAATCAAATAGCAACTGCTACAGCTGTTCGAGACCCAGGGTGAGCTCCTGGCCCTAGTCCCAGCTCCCGCCCACCCAGCGGTTCGAAAGCAATTAATATAAGCGAGTAGATGAATGGGTACCTGCCCTTAGGTGGCAGGGGGCACCCTCCCCGTACGGGTGTGTGTGGCAGGAGCAGTAGAAGCGGCTGCAGTGGCGGCGGTGGAAATGGCGGCGATGGAGTGGCATAGCGTCGGAGAGAAGGCAAGCGGAGAGATGGAGGTGGAGACAGAGGCGGAGCTACAGAAGGACGTGGTGACATGATGCAAGCGCAGCGGAGCCGTACGGACGTTAGCTGGGCTGTAAGTCAATACGACCCACATACCAGACGAGCCCGCCGAAAGAAAGAAAGAAGCCGCCGGACCGGACGACCACACCAGGAACCGAGCACTGACACCCGAAAGACCGCCCGGGAAGAACAACCAAGAAAAACAGCGAACCCTGCCACCTGGGTGCTGGTAGGCAGCCCCAACCCCTGTAGACATGTGGCCTTAGTTAGGGATAAATTTGGAACTTGTAAGTCACTCAGAGACCCTTCGGGGTTGGAGCGGGGTAGAAATTGAAGATATAAATAAATAAATAAATAAAAGTGAAGCCCTTTTCACTGATTTCAGTAGGAAAGATAAGCACACACTTATGGGATTCAATGTGCTTAATTCTGACCGAATGAGACCAAATGCATTATAATGAAAACAAAAAGTATGTGTGCTAGGCCCTAGAAAAAGATCACCATTCACACTATGCAAAATACACAACAGAAAGGTCTAAGAACTGAAGGCTGAACACTCTGCCAAAATCCTCTAGCTAAAACCCTGGAGAGTCCCTGCCAGTCAGAGTAGACAATGCTGACATTGATGGACTGATGGTAGAGAGACCATGCTTTGTGTGCATTGTGTGTGAGCTAAAGGCAATGTGTACCAAAGGAAAAAGAACACAAGAGATGCCAATGTTGGATCAGGCCAAAGGCCCATCCAGTCTAACACTCTGTCACACAGTGGCCAAAAATACCAGGTGCCATTAGGAGGTCCAGCAGTGGGGCCAGGACATTAGAAGCCCTCCCATTGCCCCCCCCCCCAAGCACCAAGAATACAGGGCATCACTTGCCCCAGCCTGAGAGTTCCTCTCTATACCTTCTGGTTAATAGCCACTGATGGACCTCTGCTCCATATATTTATCCATATAACCTGGAACTGGCTCGGGTATTTCTGGAATGTGTGTAGCTATCACCAGATCAGCTCCATCTCAGCTCCTTTGTTTCCTTACAAATTCCACAGCTTCATGGCAACACCATTCTGCAAAAACATGGTTCTGAAACACAGATCCTCATGGATCCTTGGATTTTTTGCATTGGGTCACCCCAAACACAACATCAAATCACATAACATGTCCACAGCAACAGCTAGTACAGCAAAAATCACAGATCCACGGCTTCGTGGTGACACCATTCTGCAAAAACATGATCCTCATGGATGTTTGGGTTTTTTGTATTGGGACACCCCAAACATACCATATCATATCCATGGCCACAGCCTGCACCACAAATATCACGGTGCCACGGCTCTGTGGCAACACCATGCTGCAAAAACATGGTTCCGAAGCACGGATCCTCATGGATCGTTATGATTTTTGCTTTGGATCCTTATGATTTTTGCATTGACCTTGGGCAAGCCATAGTTCTGACGAGCTGTTCTCTCAAGGACAGCTCTGGAAAGAGCTCTCTGAGCCCCACCTACCTCACAGAGTGTCTGTTGTGGGGAGGCGAAGGGAAAGGAGTTTGTAAGCCGCTCTGAGACACCTTTGGGTAGTGAAGGGCGGGGTATAAATCCAATCTCTTCTTCTTTTCTATTCGAGGTATAAGGTTTCTTGTGCCTCATTCTCAATTGAACTAACTGGTGATTTCAACTGTCTCCAACAGCTCCCTTTGGCTGCCTTTAGAGAAAGGATGATATCTATGGGTTTCTTTTCTCTCTCTTTTTTTAAAAAGGGAGATTGCTAAAGTGATCAAGTTTGATCCTGCTCTTTGAGGGGGGCTTCCATTTTTAAACCCTCCCCCAAAATACTTCCTGGTGCATTTTGCAAAAAAAAAAAGGGGGTGGGGAGAGCTCCAATCAAGTGAACTAGGAAATTCTCAGTGGCTGTTTGACATGGGAAGGGGGAGTGGGTGAATGTCTAGAGAAACAATAAACCTCTCCTTCAAATTTTTCCTCTGTAGTCCTGCCAGGAAGGCTAAATGTACAACTGTCCTGTTTTTCTTCCCTTGCCCACCCACCTCTCTCTCTCTCTCTTCCCTCTGCTGCATTTCTGAGCACAGGTGTTGGCCTAAAAGGCACCCCTCCCCTAGCTGTGGCCCCCATCTGCCCGCTGTCCCTTGTTGCAGGCTTTGAGAACACACCACAAAATGGTTTTTAGGAGGCTTTCGGTGTGTGTGTTTATTGGTGCAAAAAAAAGAGGAGAGGAGGAAGTGGAGTGGAGGAGAGGTGAGAGATTTCCTCCAGTCTGTTTCTTGCTTTTCGACCATGCAACTTCCCTACTTGCTTTGCAAATTGCACCTGCTGAATTCTTTGCAATTGTAATAATATTTTGGAGAGGTTGTGGTGGGGGGTTGCTAAGGTTTGTGTGGCTTGATTGGAAGGGGGAGAGGAATCTTTTTTTCTTGGAGATTGCATTGCCTACAACCAGAGAATGCTGATTCTCCCTGCAAAAGGCAAACCTTCGCCAGCGACATTGCAATAGCATGGAGGCAGTTTGGAGGAGTCTGAATTGCTTTCTCTTTGCAAGTGCAAAATTTCTTTTTAGGGGCAGGAACAAGCTGGAGGAAGGAGGCTGTCTTTCCCACCCTCCTCAATCCTCCCACCGAGGAGCCACACACACACACTCCACCACCTTCCTTTCTTTTGGGTAGAGGACACTGAACCCCCCCCCCCCCCCGCTCTATGAAAGTTAGGGCTTGACTCCTGATGAGACATAAAAGAGGGATTTCTCACCACCACTCAAGCAACATTGGAGAGGCTGGAAAGAGCTGCGATACGGCCAGAGGCAAGAAGGAGAGCAGGGCTTCTGAGGAGGGAGGGGCAGCTCGGAAGCCAGCCGGAACTGTGCTCCAGGGAACACGCTCTAGCCCTTGTCTCTATGGTTTTCATAACCATAGAGACTTGGAGGACTTAATTGCTAGAGCGGCAATTTCCGCCGCCATTTCCCCCCCCGGGCCCGAATTTTTAAAAAGCAGGTAAGGGGGCTTTAAATCGGGGGTTCCCGACCCCAGCGGGGGCTTGGCAAGCCTACCCGAAAATTAAGATGTTTTCACCTCAGCCATGCTTGGAAGTAAGCTCCACAGATGTCAGGATTTATCTACAAAACGTGCCTGTACCCCAATGTTGGGCTTCCCAGAGTATACTATGATCATGCCAAATTGTTCCACTCCCTCTGTCTTTGAAGTACACCCTAGGAACTAAATATCAATCCTTTTACCAACACATTTCCCTGGCCTTATTAGTACAATGGCAATTAGCCACTTAATAGCTACTGATGATGGTTTACTTACCTAGGGTCTGCATAGCCTCCTCACTTTGCTGGACCTGCTGAGACATCATCCTGCTAATACCCATTAAGCTCTCAGTGATGTTACTGGCCCCTTCAGCCAAGCTTTCCTTGGTAGTTTTTCTAAAAACAAACAGAAAATAAGCTAGCACAAAATAAACCTATATTCCCAATTAGTTAACTTTGATATTGTAATTTGTTCTTGACGTATATCATTATATATACCTATGTTTCTTTCTATACTGGTGAAAAACAATAAAAATATAGGGAAAAAAAGAAATGAAAAACGGTACGAACAAAGCAGCATGTGGACAACAAGCGCTAGGAACTGTAAGGAAGAACATCAGCTTCTTGGGTCTCTAGTAACTTGTTAAAACTATTTTACAAATGATGCCAGAAGGAAAAGGACAAGCCAAGTGGCTGGCTGAGTGAACAGGGAACTGCGTGGCCAAGGATGAGATTCTGAAGCAGAGCCTGACAGCAAGCAATCTGGGAGCTTTGAAGGTACAACATTTGGTAACCGAGCTGTCCAGTTACAAAGGAATGATTCTGTCACCCTTTACCTTCTGGCATGGTCCTTGTAGAGGTAAGATTAATCTCTTTTTTAAAAATCTATTTTTGTACAATCTGCACCAAGTTTTAGGTTATATACAAATACTGTTATTGTTATGAGAGCCAAAGTGATATAGCTGTGACAGTTAGGACCAAAAAGACCAAGTTTCAAATCCCCACTCAGCCACAAAAGCACACTGGGCTACTTGCTTTGACTTCATCGGTGCTTGAGAGAGAAAAAAATGGAGAAGGGGAGAATTATACAAGCCACCCTGAGCGACTTGAGTGAAACGTGATGGAGATTATTATTACCTTTTTCTTAGAGGGTCTCCTCCTCGCAATAATTCATCTTTCTCAGCATTGTCAATGGCAATTTTGCAAGCCAGATTCGCCTTCCTCCATGCTGCCTGATTGCTGAAACCGTCAATATACCATGATTTAGAACAAGAGGGACTAGACAGATACACCAGTCCACACAATCATACCACTATCTTCCGAACAACGTCCAGTCATCTTAGAAAAACACTGTATTGCAGCTCTGCGTTTATTCTGGTTACAGTGTGTTTCATCAGTCCATTGTTTCTATGGAAAAAATACTGGCTGTAGTCAAGAAAAAAACTATAGCTTTACTGCCTGCACACAAGGTTCATCCTTGCCAAACAGATGTTGGTGCTGTCACTTCTGACAGCACAGATCACCAGTTATGAGGAGAGGAGATACTGAGCCTTTAGACATGGGACTGCAATAATGCGGTCATCTGAATGCTACTTTTTTCCTGCATCTTCAAAGTCCATGAAATTCGGCACATTTCACAAGACTGATTTTACAATACCATTTAATTATGAAATAACAATTTTTATGAATAGGATGTGCTTAAAAGAACAAGGGCACAATCAAGCACCTTTGGGTCTCATTCATTGCAATGGGAGATACATAAGCATACCACCAACGTAAACAATGAAGGCAAATTTAAAATAAGTATTCTACATGTTACACGCATTCAGTATCAAAGTACTGGGAAAATGTTGGTTTTTAGGAACAGTGATTAAAAGAACAAAAAGATAGCCCTTGAACAGGAGGGAAGGGCCCTGACTCTGGCACAGCATGTTCTTCACAGATAATTCCACACTATGTCCATAATTTTTGTTAGTGACAATAACCATTAAGATTTTCATTGAAGTGTACCTAGACCTGCCATCAGGAAAAGCAAAAAGAGAATTTATAAACCATCAAATTTTGTTCAGAAAGATGGCCACAGGAATCTGAGCTGTAGCATCAATTTTTTTTAGTCACAGCCAACTGAAAACAACAAATCAAAATGTGTTTTACTTATGAGCCATTTTTATCTTAGCAATTACTATGCAACTACAGGAGTTTCTTGGCAGAAAGAAACAATGGCTACAAACGTAAGGTTAGTATACCGGTCCAATTCTGACACTAAGTCTGTTTTGTGAATTTGCAGGAACACCTTCATTTCTGTGGAACATAATTTTGTTTTGATAAAACTGTATTATGCCCTGTATTATGAATGACTTTTAGAAAAAGGTAACAAACACCAAACAACACTCACCACTCAACTTACCTGAGCATTTGCTTTTTATGGTTCTCTACTTCTAGGATCAAAGCTTGCTTTTCTGATTCTTTATCTTGTTCCTTAGCCATCTGCTCAAGCTCCTATGCAGACCCAGAATCAACACTTTTATTATTAATATTTTGAATCACTTCTGTACACACTTCTCAAAGGAGTCAACTTTATTAGTGTCTCAGTTCTAAAAATCTGACACACTTACTCAGTGGAATATACTTAAACTAAAGCATGTTCAAGATTTAACAGGCATAGCTGGACTTCAAGGCTTGGGTTCAAATAACCCATGGGTTTTGATTAACACTGTATTACCTTTTAACTTGTATATTCTCAACATGTGTACATAGCTACCATGTTGAAAGCCAAGGCTAACAGCCCAATCCTAAGCAGAGCTACACTTTTCTAAGTAGAAGAGCACAGAAGGATGTAACTCTGCTTAGATTGCATGGTGAATGAAGCAAACTAAAATATGAATAACATGATGTAAATCTAGACAAAAATTGTAGGTAACAACCTGATCCATGGAAAATAATTTTTAAAAAATTATGGAACTTAATGTCAATCAGGTATGCTATATGAATGTATGTGCTTTTCATAGGGTTAGGGTTATGCTATTAGGTTAGCAGAAATAGGTCTGAAGTTGCTCTGGCTCATAAAATCAGCTTCTGAGATTCCCTGAAAAGTTGCAAGCAGGCATTTTCCTCACTGTTCCAGTACAAATATTTTTTACCTTTGAGAGCACTACTCAGCCACAGAAAACCATTTTTTTTTTAATGAATGGCTGGTCTTCTGCCAAAATAAATTCCAGTTTAAGAACAGTTTCTTATGTTCAACATAAAGTATCATATGCATGCTCAGAGGAATGCCATGCTTTAGATGGGCAAAATCAGGTGATTCAGTAGAGGTGTAATCTTTCACATGTATGTACACCCTGTACAAGCAGCATACTATGATGTATGAATTTATCATCTGGAATTCAGTGAAGCTGCTTCCTCTGTTTTGTAAAGTCCATGGTTAAGAAACTTAGAAATTTTAGTTCATTCTTAAATCCAATTTAAATAGATTATGAATGTCATGTATGTTCATATTTTAGCTGCCTTTATCTGTCATTCTTTCTGCATTTTTCAAATAAATAAACTTCTAATACATAAACTTCTGATCTCCCCTTAAAGTTGCCAACTGCATCAGGAAGAAAGGCACTTGTTATTTCTTGATAAAGCATAGCATTGGCTGTATTAATATTTACTGTTTCAGTGATATGGAGATGTGCTACTGATTTTGATGCACTCTGAAGAAGACAGTCTACAACAAGAAAGAAACTTAGGAATCTTGTCAGTGGTCTCTTTGGTACATTATTAATCTGTGAGTGAAGGTCAACTATTCTATGATTATATAGACTGAAATTTTGTAGCAAGGACAGTAATGGTCGTGTATACGTGATTCACTTCTTTGTATGTAGCAACAGTGTTAAACAGTGGAAGCATCATTGAATGCAGAGTATTTTGCTTGCTGCTTGTGTATTTATGTCAATTTATGGAATATATGTAACAAATTTGGAAGTTGTTGCAAAGTTGTGATGTCATAATAAGAAATACAATACACTTTTAATGTAAAAATGGAACTTTATTTATATTAATTGAGGTGAACAACTTATACACAGTATTCATCTTGTGGTTTCTACTTCCTATACTGTGTCCCTTTATTTTGGTGAATTCCAAATGGAATATTGATGGCTTTCACTGCAGCCCACATTCACTGAAATCCTCATTTACCTTGTTTTATCATTATTCCTCACCTGTATTCTAAGCCGCAACTGCTGAAATTTTTCCTTTACCTTGGCATTCAGTTCTGTAAGTGTACTTATAGGACCCATGCAGTCCCGGATATCCTAAAAGTAATAACAAGCAACATACAAATGTATTTTTGCTCTGAAGTTCTTTTAGATTGTGTATTGTTAGACTGATCCTCAAAAAGTGATTCTGTTCTCAGAAAGAGTATTCACTAAGCCAGTAAAGCATTTAAAAGAACAACTGCTATTGTTCTATTAATGAAAATAAAATGTTGAAGTTAAAAACAGCAACTACCACTAGGGTGGTTTACATGGTGAGAGCACGCCCATGTTTTAAGAACATAAGACAAGCCCTGCGGGATCAGACCAGTAATCCATCTAGTCCAGCATCCTGTCTCACACAGTGGCCAACCAACTCCCCTGGAGGAACAACAACAGGGCATTGCTATAAGCAATGTGCAAATTAACGCTAAAACTAGTTAATATGTTAAAAAGCATGTACCAAGAATGTGCTTTCAATATAGCAGATGACATGTTTACATGCATGTGGGCATATAAATCAGTGTATCTACATTTATTGTGAGACCGCATTGCTGATCACTTCTTAGAAGCATGAATGTAAGCAGAAGCTTAAATGCACTGACTTCAGTGGACTCACAAAGAGTGAAACTCTGCTTAGATTGCACTGTAAGTGTAAATACCACATGGAAGTGCTTTCCCCTGTAAGATTTTGGTAGTATGTTTACTGGTCCCTCATTATTCCAACATTTAAGGAAGTTTGGCTCTAGTCCACTCCTGAGAAAGAACTGAACTGACTGAGGAAGAGAGCAGAAGGCAGGTCTATTTTACCACACTGTTTTACACAAAATTGTCAGTTTCAGCAAGAGTAACTGATGCAGTCAGTCCTCAAGCCCAACAAGTTTTGGCCATGAGAAGATGCCCTGTTAGAGATACATAAGATAATCTTTTTCAAATAAAAATGGACAACACTGAAAAAATACACTGCAGCAGCCTTTGACTCTGTTTTTGCTGATCACAGGAATGGGCAGCAGGAGCATATAATGGGCAGAAAACATTTAATGGAAGGAACTTGTGGTCTTCGTACCCAACCACAAACAGGAGGGAGTGTGGAAGCGCACGCAGAGTTGCCACATCAATACCCCAAGACAGTGCACAGAAAGGCCGATTTCACCCCAGGGCAACTTTTCTCAGCACGTTAGAGCAGCGGCGGGAACATCTCCCATGTTTTGCGAACTCCGAAGGGGGCAGTGGGTGCCTCTCACGACGGTGCCAGTAGAGGAGCCGACCAAAAAGAACAAACCAGGGCAACGGGGGCGTTCCTACGAAGTTCCCCCCACTATCCCCACGGCAGCAGTTTAAAGGAAGATCGGCTGTCAGGCTGTAAAGATACGGGAAGTAGCGAGTCACACGTTATTTACTGCCCGGAGAGGGAAGACTAAGAAAAATGGCTCTACCTGCACTGCTGCTTTAATCTCGAGGTCAAATTTGACAATCTCCTGGTTGCAAACTCGGACCGGCACGTCAGCGGTAGCCGCCATTTTAGGAGCAACTACGGCAAGCGAAAAGAACCGAGAGCAAATCTCGACACGCCCACGTCTTTGCTTTGGCTACAAGAGCGGGAGGTAGAGCCAGTGGTGCCGGTTCCAGAAAGGAAGGCCGATTGGAGGAAAAAAGGAAGGCGTGACTTTCCCTCATTCTGGGCTACTCTCACATCGCCTGGAACGCGACGCATAGGGGTGGGGGTGCTGAATAGACCGCGATTGGGCGGCGAAAAGCAAAGTGGGACTCCTTGTTAAGAACCAAGCCACGCAAAAATTATATAGTTCCACGAGGAGAATGCATTGAACTGGGAGATTTCCTAGATATTTTTGTTTATTTATAGCCCGCCTTTCTTTGAGTCTCAGGGCAGATTTAAAGTGGTGTAAACCAATATACTTGAATAGCAAAGCGGTGGGGAAAAGATTACAAAAATTACAAACGGCAAAAAAAAAGTAGCAGACATGGTATGTCAAGCAATGCAGAAAATGGAGTTAGGAAACAATGCAGTAAGAGGAGGAGAATACATACAGCAAATAGATAATATATAGCATACATAGTGACACATAAACTACTTTATACTCAAATGTGAATTTGTGCATCTCCTTACAAAAATATGTAATCTTTCATTAAAATCTGCCTCTATTCCTGAGGACTGGAAGGTAGCTAATGTCACTCCCATCTTTAAAAAGGGTTCCAGCAGAGATCTGAGAAATTACAGGCCAGTCAGTCTGATGTCAATATTGGGTTAGTGGAAACTGTTATTATTTATCGTTTCACGATAAACTACAAAGTAAAAGGATGGGGGAAGCTACGAACTACAAAAAAGGGAAGATACAAAAGAAAAAACTATCTAAAATACCAAGCTAGACAGTGGTGTTTTTACAGCTTACATAGCTTATTTCCAAAATATCTCTTCTCTCCCCTTATATAAAGCCGTAGTGGGGTCCAACGTTCCAATGCACACCTACAGTGTTTGGGCGCAAGAACTGTCAGTCAGAAGACGCTGGCTGGGTTGGCTGGCTGCTTTGTGTAGTCCCGCCCATGTCAGCCCTGGCCGGCATCTGGGCCTCTGACAGGAGTGGACCATCTGCAGACTGAGCGCAGGGACGGGGCTTCTATGGCTGGGCCCAGCCAGAGAAGCCCTGAAGAGTCGCCGGTAGACACAAGGGGACCCAGGTAAGGGGATGGAATTGCGTGGGAAACCCCAGGACAGAGCGGTGGCCGAGCTGTCTATGCCTGTGTCTTTGGGTGGGGGTGTTGTGGAGCGTGTGGAGGAAAAGGCAAGTCAGCGGCCACCGCCGGCCTGAGTTCTCTCCCACCCACTGCAGCCTAGGCCACTCTCCTCTGATTGGGCCAGAGTTTCAAGGTCATTTGCATATGGAAGCTGATTGGATTTCATTCCACACCTCAAACTCCCCCTCCCCCGCCTGCAAGACAGTTAGAACTGTCAGTTGCATATAGGACCTGGTGTATCCTGAGGTAAAATATGTCCTCACAACACATCACTTCCCCTTCAAAAGAAACAAACCCAATAACACAATCATGCCACACCACAAAAAAGACAGATCACACCACAAGCAGAATACCAAGGCAAAAAACAATAGGAAAAGGTGCCAGCAGTCACCCCATTACTGCCACAGATATGTACCTGAGAGCGCTTCAGAGAATGGTATGCAGGTCCCAGGTTCATGTTTTAAAAGCTGCCTGGGGGATTATGGACCATTCACACAGTTCCAACCTTAACATACCTCATAGGGTAGTTGTGCGGATTATACGGGGGAGAGGAGAATGATGTCAGCTGCTTTGGTTCCCACTGCAGGGAAAGACTGCCCTTTCCCTAGGCAGAGGCTGGGGGGGGGGATGTAAACCTGAAGACAGGCAGATAAAGGTAGGCTGATGGTTGCCTGGAAAGGACATAGGGTTGCTGTTAAGTCGCTCGCTTAACAAAGCAGTCGGAGAGTGATTCAGCAAGAACACAACTTTATTCTTCAACTCGAACACAACTCCCAACACGGATCAACATCTGATAGCCAGAACAGCCTTTACATTGCAGCTGTCCTGGTTTTAAACATTCCCGGCTAATGTAGCCACACCCACTGTACAAATACAAACCAATAAGGTTGTTCACATAAGGACCAATCACAAATGTTCCCACTCAGGGAGCTTGCTAGAAGGTGATTGGTTAGGTGCTTCCTGGGCTAGTAACACGATTGGATGGATTTGGATCCTAGCCCAGGACGAAGCTTTACATTACACAATTACATTACATTACACAACATATGCAAGGCAGCTTTGAATACACTACAGTATCAGACCTCATTATCACATTACTCTTGAGGTAGAAAGTTCATGTACACTTGTAATCACTTAGGTAGGTCAGTGCTCGGCGCACCCGCTGAGACCTACGTAGCTGTGTAGGCTCAGGACACAGCTCAGCTTGGGGGACTCCGCTTGACTCACTGGGAAGTGAGTCAGGTACACTTCCGTCCTCTCTTGCGGGTCCGCAGTTAGGGGTCTGCCCTACCACTGGGACAGTACGGGGCTCGGCAGTACTCACCTCCGGAGGAGGTCTGGGACGGTCCACTGGTTCGGGGGACTCAGCCGGTTGGGAGTCAGCCGGTTGGATTGCCCACCGCTGCCTAAGCTGGTCTATGTGGTGTCCCCACTTGCGTCCATCTACAAGCTCGACCACATACATTCTTGAACCAATTACAGTGGCTGGTAGCCACGAGTGACCCCCTGCATAGTTACGACTAAACACTTTGTCGTCTGATTCGTAAGTGCGGACCTTAGGGAGCGCACTGTGCTGCTGGGGCTTTAGATCGTTCAGATCTGGATGAAGGCGATCTAATAAGGTGGTAAGGCAACGCCCCATCAGCAGCTTGGCCAGGCTGTGGCCTGTGGCTGAGCATGGGGTAACGTGCTGGCGTAGCAAAAATTAGGCCAGTTTTACCCCCCAATCGGCCTGCGTTAGCTTTGTAAGGGCCTCCTTGGTTGTCCTGACCATTCTCTCCGCCTGGCCGTTAGAGACCGGGTGGAAGGGAGCCGACGTCCGGTGTCTAATCCCGTTGTCGGATAGGAACTGGTCGAACTCCCTAGAGACGAACTGCGTCCCGTTGTCACTCACCAACACATCCGGTAGCCCGTGGGTGGAGAACAAGCAGCGCAGCACTTTGATGATGGAGATCGAAATGGTGAAGCGCATGTGCGCAACCTCCAACCATTTTGAGTACGCGTCAACGACAATAAAGAACATTTGGCCCTGAATGGGCCCTGCAAAATCCAGGTGGAGCCTGGACCAAGGCTTCCCTGCAGATTCCCACTTCTGCGGAGTGGCGGTAGGAGGTTCGGACCTGGCCTGCTGACACGGCATACAAACCCGACCCACTCCTCAATGTTGGCGTCTAAGCCGGGCCACCACACATACCCCCAGGCTAACGCCTTCATGTGGACCATGCCGGGATGGCCCTCATGCAGTGATTCCAGCACCTTTCCTTGGAGTTTGAGGGCCACCACCCGGTTACCCCACAAAACACACCCTTTCAACACCGAAAGCTCATTTTGGCGTGCCCGAAGGTTTGAACTCCGGCTCCACAGTTCCTGCCGGCCACCACCTCCACACCCAGTTTAAAACTTGGGCGAGTACACTGTCCTTAGCTGTTGCAGTAGCAATGTCCGTGGAGGAGATTGGAGCCTGAGGCAGTTCCTCAATGGTTAGTACTGCGCTAGCTGGAGCAGGGTCCACGTCCTGGCCAGGTAGAGGGCAGTGACTGAGGGCGTCTGCATGTCCAATCGCCTTGCCTGGCCTGTGCTCAAAGTCATAATCGTACGCGGTGAGGAAGATCACCCACCGCAACATTCGAGGTGACAGTATGTTGGGGATTTGCCGGTCAGGGGCAAAGATCCCCATCCAGGAGCATTCCCAAGCTCCTAACCTCCGACGCTGGCAACAGTGGTGCCCCATCAAAGGTCAGGAGTGGGATCCCTAACCCTGGCCTACTCCGACTCAGTCTTCGTCGGATTCAGTTTCAGTTGGCTCAATCTAAGCCAACCAGCCATGTCTTATAATGCCCAGCCCAGATCTTCCGGTTTGGAGTCAGATTGACTGCCCAACAACAGATAGAGTTGGGTGTCGTCCGCTTATTGGTAACAACCCAGCCCATGCCTCCGGGCAATCTGGGCAAGGGGGTGCATGTAGATGTTGAAGAGCACTGGGGACAGCACTGCCCCTTGAGGCACACCACAGTCCAGTGGGTGTCTCTAGGATAGCTGTTCCTCTAGCACCACCCTTTGTCCTCGACCTTGGAGAAAGGAGGCAAGCCATTGCAAGGCTAGCCCCTGAATCCCCACGTTGCCAAGGCGGTGGATCAGTAGCTGATGGTCGACCGTGTCAAACTCAGCCGACAGGTCTAACAGCAAAAGCACTGCTGATCCACCTCGATCCAGATGCCTCTGGAGATTGTCCATGAGGGCGACCAGTGCCGTTTACCACCACTGCCCTATCATTTCGCCCAAATAGGGCAAGTTAGAAATCGCCCGGTAGTTGGCCAATTCGGCTGGGTCCGAAGATGGCTTTTTAAAGAGGGGGCTGACCACTGCTTCCTTAAGTGCCTTGAGGAACTTGTTGATAATCTCCCACAAGGCACCTCGAAACCCCTCATGGCCAGCTTTAATTAGCCACGAAGGGCATGGATCAAGGGAGCAGGTGGTAAGGCGGACAGTTAGGAGCAATTTGTCGACAACTGAGAATGCAGTAGCTATATTTCTCTACTAAACATTTGTTACATCATATGACTGTATATAAAACCATGTGTGCTTGAAATCATATATCTATTTATTAACAATATATAGTGTTAAAACAGCAGTTTTAAGACAGCACAGTAATCAATTGGAGCCACACTTGAAACAGGAGTGATTTTTTTTAAGTCCACAATTTGATAACATTGGTTCTTGAGTACTTGAATTATCCATCCAATCACACCCCAAAAAAGGCTGACTGTATAGGT